ATTTTTGAAGGTATATAGATAAAAGCTGCCGATCGGCAGCTTGAAGGTTCGTTGCGTCAACCTCCTTTGAAAATTGGTGTGATGTGAGCCAGTTTCCAATTTTGTTGATATTATGCCTCGGCTTAGCGCGTGTGAAAACATCACGCTAAGCGGTGTTGCCAAGATTGAAGCTGCTTACTTCAGTCTATCGGAATGAACCATATCCAGACTAAGAGAAGTGTCTTTTTTAGGTGCTGCAGTTTTCGGAACACCAAGTCAGCGCTCAGGCTCATTTCTGAAAGTCCCGTTCAATTGCAGGTGGATCGGCCTGCAGATTACGGGGTGATCCAATATTGGCTTATCGTATATTGAACGATGACCTTGGTATTATTTGTCTTGTCTTTTCCTTCGGTTTGAAACCGACCGTTTGAGAGGATATTCTGAGAAAGTTTAAAAATCGAAACCAAATCATCTACGTCCGGAGTTTCATTTCTCCCATCGAGTAAATGAATCGCTGGAATTCTCTACCGGAACACGTAATATCAGTACCTTCTGTTGATGTATTCAAAACAACATTGGACCTCCACAGTATTATAAACTGCAAAGATTAATATAGGTCGATATTACAGATTCAGATTTGTGTAGTAAGAACAGAAGGCCCACGGCCTATGTTATCCCTTTTCTAGTATGCTTCTGTGAGTGTCCAGTTTTCTCTTGAAAGAGTCAATTGAAGGTGCGGGCATCACTGCTTCAGGCAGCAGGTCCCAAGTATTGATGACGCGGTGTGAAAACCTGTATGCCACGGGTATTTTGTTTGTTCTTGGCTTTTCTACTCGCCTGCTATGTCCTCTAAGGTGTCTCGATCTAGTGGTAAGAAAGAGAGAGAATAAGTTAGGTCCGAAATCATTTCTCAGTATTCTGTACATCAAAATTAGATCTCGTCTTAGTCTGCGATAGGACAGAGTAAATAGGTCCAGTTTTTCAAGCCGCTCTTTGTATGATAAACCCCGGAGTTCCGGACTTGCACGGGTAGCTGCCCCCTGTAATTTTTCTAGTATGTCCGAGTCACCTTTTAAACAGAGGCTTGCAGCCTGAGTGCAGTTCTCTAGCTTAGTTCTCACTAAGGATGTGTATACTGTGGCGAACATGATAGTATGTAACTTAGTGAATGTCCTTTTTAAAGCCCAGGGGGTTCGAAAGACCTTGGCTGTGACCTCCCGGCAATGGGCCATCGTCTTAAGATCATTACTCACTGTCGCTCCTAGATCCTTATGAGACTGGACTACTGGTAATGACACATCCCTTATGTTGTACTTATTAACCTTTGAATCCCCCAAGTGCATGTAGACACACTTTGCCGCGTTGATAGGCATCAGCCACTCTTTAGACCAGTTTATCATACTATCTAAGTCTGCCTGAAGAGTAAATGCGTCTTTGTCTCCAGTTATTACTCGCCAGATTTATACATCGTCAGCGTAATAATAAAAGTAAAGGACCCAGGACGGAACCTTGGGGTACTCCACTAAGTACTGGTCTCCAGATGGAACACTTGGAATTTATTCTTATTTTTTGCCTACGACCTACTAGGAAATCTTTAATCCATTTTAAAAGAGGTCCGGCAATACCAAGGTTTCCCAACTTCAATAGCAGTCTATTAGTTGGCACCTTGTCAAAGCCTTACTGAAATCTATGTAGACAGCATCCACTGCGTTTCCGTTGTCTAGCGCATTAATCCAGAACTCCCTTGTTATAGGGAGGTTCGTTGTACAGGATAGACCCTTTCTAAAACCATGCTGTGCCATGTTCAGCAAGTTATTGGTTTCCATAAATGCCGTTATGGTCCGTTTGATTATTCTTTCCAGTATTTTAATTACCACACTGGTGAGGCTTACGGGTCTGTAATTCGATGGAACTTGTCGTGGACCTGTTTTATGTATGGGAGTGACCATTGCGTCCTTCCAGTCAATAGGTAACACACCTTGGTCAAGTGACATATTAAATATCGCAATCAGTGGGGCCGCGATATATTGGGCAATATGTCTCAAGATTTTAGGGTGTAGTTCATCTGGTCCTGTTGACTTCTCCATGTTTATGGTGCTAAGAGCCTTAAGCACATCGTTTTGGTCGAAGTCCACGGTGAGCAGCTGGTTTGTTGACTCTGTATTTGGGTCTGGTTCTTTCTCTAATGGAGGTTCCTGAAAGAAAACTGCCCCAAAATATTCAGCCATAGCCTCTGCTTTTTCTTGATCTTCCTCTATCATTTCAGATTCACTTCCTACTTTAATTAGGTTGGGAATCCAATGATGAATAATTGTTCTGTAGTTTATGTACGAGAATATTTTCTTGGGCTGCTTGAGTGTAGATTGTGCCGGCTGCATTTCATATTTCCTTTGAGCTTCCCGAATTTTCGTTATACACTCGCTTCTTATCGATCTGTAGCGTTTCATCGTACCTGATGTGCCAAGGCGGATGGCAACGTCTCAGCATTTCTTCTTTTGTCTCAGTAAACGTCGAATATCCCGCCCTATCCAGGGATGTCCGTGCTTCTTTTTTTGGGACAGTCCAGGGTATGTATGGTTGAGTTACCCGATTGTATAACTGCCTGAATAGAGTCCATGCCTCTTGTACTAATGCCTTTGAGTCAATTTCTTAGTTCTCAGCCGATGCTGCGGAGTTAATTGCCTGCATATCTGCCTTCCATATGTTGAGACGGGCCGGTGCAACTGTTTGATAGGCAATCTCAGCCATGAATTTGAATAAGATGACTGCATGGTCACTTCTCCCAAGTGATGGGAGGAAAGTAATTTGGCCAACGTCATCACCGTGTGTGAAAACTAAATCTAAAAGTGAGGAAGAGTTTCTTAAGTCGTATCTTGTGGGATCGCTAATGTGTTGGAATAATGCTAATCCAATCGAGGTTTCTAACAGTTTGCAGTCGAACGACGATATGGATGACCCTACTACTAAGTTAACCCAGTTTATATGTGGTTCATTAAAGTCACCTACTACAAGACTTTTACCGTTGTTACACCAGGACCTAAGTTTACTTGTGATAAAATCATCTGCTACACATTCTGGACTGCGATATACTACAACTTCTTCAATATCTTGCCGTCGGCATTTCAACTTACATCTCACCAGTTCACATGTCCCTGAAACATGTGCTACTGTCTCAGCTTATCTTATGGTTAGGGTACTTTTCGTGTACAGAATAACCCCGCCTCCCTTACGGTTTAATCTATCAGCCCTACTGGTTATGAAACCAGTCAACTGGATTTCACTATCTAATACTTCTAACGTTAACCAAGTTTCCGAGACAGCGATAACGTCCGGTTTTTCTTTATCCACCAATGACTTCAGCTCCGCCATTTTATTCAGCAGGCTGCGAGCATTTGTGTAGCATACCTTTAAGTCTGTGGAGAGCTTTCCCTTGCCACCCAAAGTGGCTTGGGGATTGTTTTGCCCCGAACGTTTACAACTTGAAAACCCTTAAGAACAAGGTTTCGTTCCCCGTTTTGGCGACGTTCATTTATTTCCACTTCTGCAGCTTGTCTCTTAATACGATCAACTAGGCTGAGATCCTCACGGACATATATTCCGGATCCTATCAGTTTATGTGAATTACTTAGAATCAGGTTCCTTTCTTTCACCGTGTTGAATGTAACCTTCAGGAGGCGGTTTTTCGGAGGACTTTCGGAATCCACTTTTTTTCCTACTCTATAAAGCTTACAAATACTGACTCCTGAAACTGTATCTGGGAGTAGTTTACTTAATGATGTCTTATTCTCGCCTTTGGTTCTTTATCTGAAGATTCTCTTATCTAATGAAAAATGACTGATCTCTCAGAGAGATCTGTCTTGTCACACAGTGAGGATTTTTCTTCTGATAGCATCCCTTCCAATGTCTTGCTGACCAGCTGCGTTATGCCTACAGTCTTTTTCTTCCCATTTCTTTTTCTCCTAAGTGAAGTCCATATGTCGCCACTCAGAACAGCCACACCTGGACTATGTGGGACGGTGACAGTTTTATCCGGATCTTCTATTTCGACTAGAGGTGTATGACTGCCGATGTCAGTATCAAGTGGCACTTCGTTCCTCGTTAATGTCAACGGAGATTTCACGTTCCCGTCAACCACAGTCAGGTGTTTAACGGGTCCGTTAGAAGCACCTACTACACTGACACATTCTTCTCCGTCAGTGCTCTTGTTATGATTGCTTCCGCCATCGTTTTTCTTGCAGGCCAAAGCCAATAGGCCCATAGCCTCCTGAACTAGTACCTTTTTATCCGTACAACGGAACATACAAAGCCAATGCGAGTTAGGCTTCGAACATCTTTTGTAAGCCGTCGGACTTAGGCGTGTACACATTTTGTGGTACCACTTTTAACAATCGTTGCATTGCGTTCCCTCCTCCACGGGGAACAAACAATTTGGTTGCCCACATTTGTGAGTCTTACCAACCATTGTAATTCGATTTAAAATGTTTAAAAACAAAAAATGATAACAATGTGAACACAAGTGTTAGTCAGGAGTAAAAAGAGGTACTCAGGACAAAATTTAGCAAAAACTTTCAGACTTTAGCCAAAGTACTTTTAGTTAAAGTAGACCGAGAATGCTTTTTGGTGCAATAAGTACCCAAAGCAAGTATAATCACAACAAATACGAAAATCACTGCCCTTTTTGAAACGGTAAAAGTACCTACCTTATGTACTTCTTTCAAACAGGTCTCAAAACTGTCCCAGCTTGTAAATCTTCGAGATAAAATAATATCATTGAAGATTCTTCCTATATCATCACGATGTCATCGTCTTCGTTACTTGAAGAATGGAAGTTACTAGACATGGTGTGGCTGAACTCAACTCAAATCTAGAAATGTCTTGATTTGACAGCTGAAAAACTTCATGAATTGTCGATGCGACGCACCTATCATCTTGCGACAGTTTGACCTCCATCAGTGGAAGATACCTTTGAAGCGTTGCTGACTTCGTATTGAAACTGAAAGGTATTGATTATTGCATTTCTTAAAAACATGCGTTACTCGGATATAGCTTATTGAAGTTGGGTGTGATATTAAGCACTGAGCCTGCTAAGTCTTAGTAGAAAATTGACGAGATCTTAGTAAACTTAGTTAAACATCCAGGTAGTTGCTTCTTGAGAGATCATTGGTGCACCATGCAAGTAAATATATCTGTTCTGTTCTCTTTGCTTATGAAAGTTTTCGTTCAAATATCACCTTGTAATTCATGAGTGAAAGAGTTCAAATAAAGTTTGTAGATTTCGTTTGATATTGATTACACTAGCCAACTTCACTACTAACTAGAGGCTGTTTAAAAACTATTTCGTCTGTTAACTAAATACCTAAAAACAATAGTTGTCTTTAACATGAACCACATTAATATTTCTTCCAATTGGGAAAACACTCTAAAGCTTTAGAGCTTAACTCCTAATTCAAATTTTTTTTCAACAACTGAGTTTTCTGACAGGCTTCTGTTCAAATGGCTCAAATGGTTGTGGACGGAATAGAAGAAGCTTTTGCTTAACAGGCTTCCGTGTTTAGTAGCAGGGGATCACCAATACCTCCAGGCAGAAACCTAGGTCTGTTAATGATAAAAGAGGAAAAAGAAGTTGGTAAATTATAATATGACACTATCCTTAGTCCTTAAGAATAGATCAAGTTGCCTCTTGAAGGACTCCTGAGAAGTCGCTTGGACTAGCTTGGCCGACAGCGAATTCCAGCATTTGGCAACTCTTAAGGAGTAGAAGTTGTGTCTACAGGCCGTCCTGCTATGTTGTGTCTCCAATTTTTGGGTGTTACCCCTTAGGTTAGTGTTGGGACTAAGCTTAAGCAGGGGTTTAAGAGGATGTCCAGAAGTGTTAAGGATAATGTAAGCCATCAGAAGGTCACCTCTAAGACGTCTGTACTCTAATGGGTAAAGCTTAAGTGATTGGAGGCGCCCTTTATAAGGTTTAAATTTGAGTCCTCGAACTGATTTCGTGGCTCGCCGTTGGATACACTCCAAAGTGTCCTTACCCTTTTGGAGTGAGGGAGGAAGTACTATGTTTCCGTACTCTAAATGGGGACGGATAAAACTATTGAGGATTATATGGAAAGTTCTTCCGTCAAACTGGCCAAAAATGCGCTCCAATGTTACCAGTGCAAGGTTTACTCGAAAGGTATTTTTGTCACAGTTAGCGTAAGACTTTAAATCGTGTGGCACCAGGACTCCTAAATCTTTCTCTGCTTGGGATACTAATAGAGAGGAATCCCTTAAGTTGTAACTGTAGTCTGCGACATGTCGCAGGTGGACTACTTTACACTTTGAAGTGTTAAAGGTAAGTCCGTTATCGTCTACCCAACTTTGAAGTCGAGTCAGATCCTCCTGAAGTGCCTGTATATCGTCTTGGTTGCATATCTCTCTCCAAAGTTTCACGTCATCAGCAAAAAGTAATAAGTCTGACGTTACTTGTTGAGAAAGATAATTTATGTAGATCAAGAAGAGAAGAGGTCCTAGTACTAGGCCCGAGGGAACCGCACTAGGACATTCCATAACCTGAGAAAAAGTGAAATTAGTCCTGACCTTAAAGTGTCGATTTTTCAGGTATGAAGTGAGCCAATTGATTAGAGGTGGTCTAATACCCAATCGTTTGAGCTTATTGATAAGACATATATGGTTAACCTTATCAAAAGCTTTTGAGAAATCTAGGTAGATGGTGTCAACCTTCCCCTTGCGATCGAGGATGCTTGTCCATCTGTCCACCGCAGTCAACAGGTTGGTTATACAAGAGTAGCCCTTCTGAAACCATGCTGTTGGGGTGAGAAGAAATTTAAGGACAGTAAATAGTCATATATACCGTCGCATATCAGGGACTCCATGAATTTTGAAGGTATTGAGAGAAGAGCCACAGGCCGGTAACTTGAAGGTTCGCTGCGTCGACCTCCTTTGAAAATTGGTAAGATGTGAGCTAGCTTCCAATTTTCCGGTAGTTTTCCTCAGCTTAGCGCGTGTGGGAACATCACGCTAAGCGGCGTTGCCCGGATTGAGGCTGCTTTCCTTAGTATAGCAGGATGGACCATATCCGAGCCAGGAGAAGTGTCTGTTCTTAAGTGCTGCAGTTTCCGGAACACCAAGTCAGCGCTTAGGTTCACTTCGGAAAGTACTTTACAGTTGCAGATAAAACTGTCATCAGTGTGGTTGATGTGGGTCGGTTGAAATGTCCGAGAGTATTGTTCAGCCAAAAGGTAGGCGGCGTCGCCGTCGTTATTGGTCGGGCCGTTAAGACCTAGCAGTTGGGAAACTCCAGTTTTGGCTTGACGAAGAGAGGCTGCATAACGGAATAAGCTTTTCAGATTAGTGACAAATTTATCCATAAACTTTATCTGGTACTGAAGCCTGTCTTCTCTTATAACCTCCGTGCATATGTTCCTTATATGTTTGTATTGCCTGTACGCTCCGTTGTTGTCAGTTCGTTTGTATTCTGCCGATCAGTGCCTTTTGCAGCTTAGCAGGCGAAGAGTGCGGTTCTTGATGATTGTAGGTTGTTTGCAGCTTTTGGGGACCGTTTGAGGAACTGAATGATTTGTAGCACATAAGGGCATGTGCAGTAAGAAGTCCCAATGGGCGTCCACATCGAGTTGAGGGTGAGCATCCCAAACCACCTGTTGTAGATAGTCATGTAGAGTTGACACATTCAACCGTTTGAAAATCCAGCGCATGTTGTTAATGGGATATCTTAGCTCAGTTTTGCTGACAAAACTGAAAGCTATAACGGCGTGATCGCTTTTCCTCAGGGGAGCCAGGATTGAGAGGTTGTCAACTAGAAATTCTTCGTTTGTAAATACACAGTCTGAGTGCGATGATGTCTGACTGTTTCTCCAACGAGTTGCCGACTTCATATTTTCATATAATCCCAAGTCCTCAATGAGGTTGAAGAACTGAGCTTCAGTTGAGTTTTCACCTCCAATATACGTATGTTTCTTTCCTCGAGTGAGCCGTGTGACCGTCAAAGGCTCTATTCTAAGAAGTTCAAGTTTCTTGTTCAATTCACCCAAAGCATCCTGTCATTTTTGTCCTGCAAACTGAGTGGAAGGTCAGGGTTGTCTTTCAGGTTCATGATTATGAGAGAGTCATCACGAAGCGTTATTATTTTCCCAGGTTTTCCGGCGCGTTCAGGTTCAGCACCTTGCTGTTTGAAGGTCGAAGCACGTTTCTGAATCCTAGGCTCTTTGATGAGCGGACGGACATTCTTGGGAGTAGACTGTGCGACCAAATCACCAGTTGATTTCCGTACAGCACTTGGGATGTTCAGCTTAGACGTTGACGCCTGGTTCTTTTTAGCTCTGTTAACGTTGGTCCAATCACTTACAGAGTTTTTGGGAACCACTGTTGCATTCGAGGACCCTGAGCTGGGAGACCCGAGTTTACTGAGGAAGTCTATTATCGTAGACGTAATGATGGTGCTGAGTTTCGACGTGTCATCATTAGTGCCGATGCATGCTCCATCGATGGTATACCTGTCGACATCCCTATTCTTGTTTTCTTCGCGCGCCCTTGTTTGTCTACCCGTTTTATGACTGTCATTTTCCAAGTTTGCTGACAACTTATTCCGCAGACCTGTCAATAGGAAAATGATATTACTCAGTCAAACTACGGCATCCGTGCTGCACGTAACACATTCCCACCTATGATCCGACTTGCTGTGTCTGTTGTAAGCAGTTGCTGTGAGATCTGTGCACGCTTCGTGGAACCAACCTTTGCAGTTGTCGCACTGCATGCCAGATGTAGCAGCAAAACGGCATCCAGGTCGTTTGCATGAATTTTCCATGACTATATTGACGTAAACTGTGTTATAGATGCTAGCAAAAGCCTTAGACCGTAAAAAATACACTAAAAACGGATGAAATAAACTGAACTAGCCTTTACTTGAAAAACTGAAAAAAACCGTATAGTAAGCTCAGGCAAAACCACAGTTAACTATTAAATTGGGTAAAACTCGAGAAAAGTAATCTACCGAACGTACAGCTTAGAATAGATTCTTCAGCATGTCCACATTAGTGTAGATGCATGTCCCATCGATACTACCGTTGTTGAGGTCCCTATTCTTTTCTTCACTGTGTGTCTTTGTATGTTTACCCGTTATAGGACTGTCTTTTTTCCGGTTTTATGACAAATTTTTCCGCAGACCTGTCAAGAGAATGATAATGTTGCTCAGCATTCACGTTACACGTGCTAAATACCCACCTACGATTCGGCTTGCATAAACTCTTCATGATCATGGTGATGTGGATTGATGAATAGATCCTAGAAAAAGTTTACGACCGCAAAACAAAAAACAGTACACTCAAAACGGATGGTACAGAAGGTTAAGATAAACTAAAACTAGCCTTGACGTGAAAAATGGAATAGTAATTTGAGGTACAATTACAGTCAACTATTAACTTTGGAGAAACTCAAAAAGAAAAGTAATTTACCGAACGTTGAGCTTAGGACAGATTCTTTGGATCAAAAAGGGTGCTTTTGTTGCGTAAGGAAACAGCAAAAGCTTGAAAAATGCAAATCATGTTAGTACTAAACTTCGCGTTCCTGTATATATCTAATCTCGCGAATGAGTCAGTCAAAAACGTGAACACTTCTACTCCATCACTGTCTGATGAGAGTTTACTAGTTTGTAAAACAACCTGTACACTACACGAATTCTTTTCGTTATTGGCTTTCGATTTTACCTCCTATGTCCTCTCAGTTGTCATAGACTAATAGGGGACAAGAGAAAATATTTCGGGTCCAAAACCGTTCCTCAGTATCCTACACGTCGTAACCAAGTCACCTCATAATTCGTGGTAAAGTAGTTTAGAGTTTGCTAACCTGTCAAGCCACTCGGTGTATGGTACGTTGCTGTCAAAGTTGACCCACTTCTATTTTCTTTAAAACCATATTTATACATTATAAATGCCTCTACATCAGAGGTAGTATTTTTTCACCGATGAAAACCGTTCAAAAATGTACTTAACTAGGTTTTACGCTATCTTCAGTTTTAAATGAATTTCATGTCAGATAAACACGTTCATTCTTTTCTCATACCGGCTTTTTTTTCACAGGTTGAGATTTTGGTCACAAGTGACGCACGGCTTTATTTATCATTATAGTTGTCAAAATCATTTAACGAGATTCTTCAAACATGGATTTGCTTGATAAGAATGAACCCATATCTTCCATTCAAGTAATTGACGTTTTATATTTAATTTCTGTCAGGAATCAAGAGATGCTTTTGTTGTCATGGCAGAAAGTGGCATAGTGGATGATGGAGTTCAGTTCCTTTATGCTGTTGACCTCCTCCGTACTACTCGTAAAGAGGCACTTAATCTCTCCGTTAAGTTATTAGAAGGTTTGTTCCAGTAAAATAATACTACTTGCAGAATTATTTAATCGCACAAAAGATGATAGTCTACGGCGTGACTGTTTGTTTTATTTGGCAGTAGCTCACACTAAGCTGTCAGTAAGTGCGTTTGCTTACGTAACACCTCATAGGACTATGAAAACGCAACTCGGTGTTGTGATAATATATTGGTGATACAACCGTCAAACCAACAGGTCAAAGAATTAAGGAATACAATACAGTCTCGTGCTAAAAGAGGTATCGAAAAACGTTTTTACCTAAGTCTACATTGATTAAGTGTATGTAATATTTGGACTTTGGAACGTTATTGAATTTATTTTCACACTGTCGTTTGCATATTGACGCAAGGATTTATGATTATATTTAAAACCCATGACTTTTCAGAGAGAACGTGGGTCATCTCAGCAGTTTTCTCTGTGTCTGAGTTCATTCGTTATGCTGCTTGGTCCTGCTGATCCACCATTCTCGATATTTCCGATAGTCTATCTGTTTCCTCCCTTTGTTGGTGCAGTATCATCTGTGGGGAGGTTCGTGTATGTCGTTTTGATGTCTGGTGAGTGTAGTGGGGCTGGCCTATTCAAAGTGATCTACCCACATGTTCCGCTGCTCTTGAACCGCACTGAATAATTTTCTTTATTTGTACTTGATTAGTCGCTCTGGTTTACTAAGTTTCCCTATCACATCCTTGGTTGTATCATAAAGTTTTATATTTCCTTCTGCTGTAGTTGCCAGATCCACGTATTTACTCTCTCTAGCTTTAATGCTTTTCCTCACTCGTATGTATGCTTTTACATGTTTAGCCCGAGCCTTGACTTTCTATGCTTCTGTCCAGCTCTTTCTAACTAGTGTCTTCTCGTTCATCCCTAGGACTGACTACAATCTGCCATAAAATTTGCCCCTACCATCTTTGCTGCTGTCGATAATTGATATGTAGCACTTTTATTTATTTATTTGAACACATAAATATTGGTACAAGAGAGCGCCAATATATATGCACCACACAAAACAATGAGAATTCGAAGAGAAAGAAAGAAAGGTAAAGAGCGTGAAAAAAGAACAATAACGAAGAGGTTGATGTAAGGTAGTGTAATAATAAAAATAATAATAATGGGGGAAACGGAAAGGTACAGTCAGAAGTAATCTTTCAGTTAAGGAAGTTCCAACCACTTTTTATGAAAAAAGTAATAGAAGGTTACAGCAGGATTGTCACTAGCTTCTATTCTGAGCCATATCTGATAACGTCTCTAACCACTGTGTTGCACCATCTCTCGGACCCCAACCAGGTAGTCGTGAAGGACCGACAGAAGCCAGTCCTTTGCAGCTTTCCTTCATACCACGACACCATGTCATAGACTGACCACCTCTCCGCTTTTTCCAACCAGTCCCAGCGTTGGCAAATAATGCACGACGTGGAATTCTCTGGGGCGATATTCGTAGAACATGTCCAAGCCACCGAAGTCGATGTTTCAAGATGGTGACATCGATTGCATTATCATCTCTGTGCCCGAACACACGATGCCGAACCTCTGAATTACTAACATGGTGTTGCCACTGGATGTCAGCAATCCTTCGGAGACAGCGATACACATCTGTGCATCGGTCCGAATTGCCACACATCACTAGCACAAAAAGATGTACACCAAATTCATAGAAATAGTTCATTCAGTGTTGGTAATACTTAAAAGAAAGATTGCATATACGGATATAGTATAGGAAGGAAGAATTAGTACGTAGAAAGAAAGATATGAAGCTACTTTAATCTCGTAGTTTAAGGGAAAACAGAGAGTGTATACACCTGCACCATTGTGATCGATTCTGAGCCATGTCACCCAGAGTCTCCAACCATTGGTTACGATAGTCACGCGGACCCCAACCAAGTAGTCTGCATCTACCAACATAGCTCAGGCTAGAAGTTAGTGACTTCAAGCACTGATGCCACTTTTTAATTTGTCGCCCCTAACTTTCTTCCAACCATCCCCAACACTGGTCAGTATTGCCATCTCAGTCGATGAAGATTCACAACCTCATCAACTGATTAACCATCATTGCCTAATACCCTGCGTATAACCTCACTATTACTTACCCGGTGATCCCAGCAGACGCCAGCAATATTTCTAAGGCATCTGTGGTCAAATACTAGTAGCTTACGAGTGTCTTCTACTCTTAATGGCCATGTTTCGCTGCCGTAAATTAAAACAGAACGGACTGCAGCTCAGTATACTCGTCCTTTTATTGATAGACGGATATCTCGCCTTCGCCACAGGTGACGTAATTTGGCAAGAGCCAAACGAGATTTTCGAATCTGTGCTGAGATTTCGTTAGACACCAACCCATTAGGGCTGATCGGCTTTCCAAGATAAGTGAAGTTGTCGACGCGTTCGACTACTAAATCGATAAGTGAACCTCCTGGTGGGAGATCAATGCCCGAGAATTCAGTCGACGAGAGCGTTATTTCCATCAGTATGTTTATGATAAAGTTGAACAAAAATAGAGATAGTGGAGAGCCTTGACGAACACCGCTTGAGGTTGCGAAATCAGATGACAGTTCTCCATAAGCTCTGACTCGACTTGTATTGTTCGAGTAAAGAGCCTTCACAAGGTTTATGTACTTCTGAGGTACGCCTTTCAATGACAGACACTGCCACAGACCCTCTCGGTCAACAGAGTCAGATGCTGCTTTTAAGTCAAGAAAGACCATCATTGTCGGACGCCGATAAGCATGCTTGTGTTTTAGAACCTGATGAATGGTGAATATGTTGTCGATGCAGCCACGACCAGGTCTGAAGCCAGCTTGATTCTCTCGTGTTTTCAGTTTACGAGTCCTTGTTAAGCATACAATAGTTATTGAGACTAGTATTTTAGATACTATATTAGTCGAACTAATCCCTCTATGGTTGTCATAGGATAATTTTGACCCTCTCTTATATATTGGGACGATAAGTGATTGCGATCAGTCAGATGGGATTACGTCTAACTCCCAGATTTTAGCTAAAATATTAGTCATCCTAATCGCTAAAATTGGACCACCATCCTTAAAGACCTCTGGAGCCAATCCATCTGGACCAGATGCTCTTTCTCGTTTCAGATTAGCTATAACCTTTTGAACTTCAGATAGAGTCGTGGGACTTACTTCAATGTTCCATCCACGCTATCTGGGGACGATGGGTAGTTGTAGAGTAGCTGAAGGCCAGCTGAACTGTTCTCTGAAATGTTCCGCTCATCGTTCTAAACGTGTGAACTGAGAGCAGATGAGGGTGTCGTCTTTTTCCGAGATAGTCTCATTTACACTTGACTTATTAATTCCAGTTTCTTTTATGAGTCTGAAGAACTGTTTGGTGTTAGCTACAGCCGTCGCCTTTTCCATCTCTTTTGCTTTCGTTGCCCACCAGTGCACACGGTCGTTCCTTAGACTTTTGGTTAACCTATATCTGCTTTGTTGTCGCTCTTCATCGTGTTCAGAGCCTGATGGGATGAGTTTACGAGAATCCATCAGTGCAATAGACCTTGAGGAAATCCATTGGTTCTTTGTAACCCTGTGGTTTAAATCACGGATAGATGTTACTGCTGTTTCCACAGACGTTTGTATATCTTCTCAAGCAACATCTGGGTCAGCTTTGTTTTCAGAACTACCTAAGTGTGACCTCAGTTGTTCCTGGAACCTACTTTTGGTTTTCTCGCTACTCGATTCAGTTCTAATGGCTCTTTTTAGTGTGACTTTTTTGCGTCCAGTGAGGCGCAAGCAAATGCGTGCCTGTATTAGGGCGTGGTCGGAGTCCAAGCAGGTACTCCAGAATGAGCGATAATCTTCTACCGACCCTCTCCAACGATGACTGATGGCAATATGGTCTATTTGAGTCCATCGTTGGTTTGGTGTAGGGGATCGCCATGTTAGACGATGTCTCTCCTTATGCTTAAAATAAACGATTGTCTGAGCACAGTTGCAGCAGACGATCACCATTATCTGTTCGTTGTGCCGGAATACTAAAATACCCACCTAAATGCCTTTCTGTTTGGTTTAAACTACCTATCTGGGCATTAAAGTCACCTGCTACGAGTACTATGTCTGAACGTTTAGCTTTCTGAAGAAGTCCAGATAGCTTTCTGTAAAATTCATCTTTCATTTCATCTGAGCTGCAGTCGGTGGGAGCGTAGGCAGAAACGACAAAAAGGCAACGACGTGCGTCCTTATCCTTCCAAGTTCTTACGGAGCCGTTTAGCCTAATAGCACATAAACGACTGTTAACGGGGATCCACTCTAACAGTGCTTGTTCCGCCCTCATGCTTAGTGCTATCCCGACTCCTGCCAGTCCACGACAGCTGGCCGCCGGGTCACCAGATACACGGGGGTGTATCTCGGCGGCTCCATGTTTTGGAGAGGTGAGGTCAAGTGAATGACCACACTGGGATCCTGTATGCGTGTTTCAGAGACACAGCATACATCAATGGTAAGAGATTCTAGGGTTCTAGCCGAGGAAGCCTGTTGACTGATTTGACATAGGGTGCGTACGTTGAAGGCTCCAATGTGTAGTTTGGAGCGAGGTTTCAGTGGACCTGGGAGTGTTTTGCGCACTAGAATCGTTGGCTATAGTGACACTGGAGGAGGAAGTTTAGTGTTGAAAGGTCAATGTAGGAGGAATAATAGGAAGTGAAGACGGAGGTTGATTATGAATACAGTGGTCTTGATTGATGTTAGAGGTATGAGGGCGGTTGTCACTTCTCGGTTGCCCACGCCGTGGAAGGGTTCTTCTGGAGGTACCTGAAAAGGAAATTGGATTAGAGGTGGTCTTAGTGACCTGGGAGCGTGACCGCAGTGCCCAAGGGATAACTGCTTGAGGTCGGTCACACACGGCCTTTTTTATGAGTAATTCTTGTGTTAGCTCCGTACTTGTTGAGACCTTATCGCCGGAGACGGATATCCGTGGGATAAGGAGAGGTGTGCATTTTTAGGGTTGACCTTTTCTAACCCCACCGCTCCTTGTGGGAAGGCAGCACTGCTGTTATGCTGGTTGTCTGAAGGAAACACCTTACTGCTGTCACACCTCTGTACATGTAGCAGTACGACTTCGCCTTCGGACCTTGGGTTTGCTGCTTTTAGTCTTACCGCTCTTCAACCGGTCTGTCTGACATGGTAGAACCTTGAGGAACGATTGTACCAGCCAGTATAGCTCGACTGGTTCATCACGATAGGCAAGCCCGACCATCACGTCAAGGTGGCAACAACGGTCGAGATCAAGCGAGCTATTCGTTCTGTGTTGGAATCCCTTCGAACACTGACTCACCACTGCTGTTTCACTTATTATTAAAATAGGCGTGTACGCAGTTCGAAAATAAATTGAACTTTCGGATTTTATCCAAGAATTCGTGATCAAATCATTGAGGTTGTCCATTGATTATTTATTTTCCAGTTGGGATGATCGGCTTAGGAGTTGTCGGTGGAATTGTTTTGGGAGCAGCTGCACTATTGGGTATTGGTCTCGGTCGCTACTATTCTAAACGTCGTAAATAAGAATACTGGTTAACTGTACAGTTTATTCAAGGTATGCAGAACAAATAGATGTGTTGCATTTGTTTACTTGTTCACAATATAGCCATTAAGCTTTGTTGCTCAGTTATATGTACTCTATCCTTATGAGTATATATCAAATAATCTGCTCTGTCGTTTATGTTATCTTACAAAATCAGTGTTATTGTAGTGTCGGTTACTATGTTAAGCCCATATAGCGTTAAAAAAAAGAACGAAAACGAACAGATTAGTGTAAGGTAGTGTAATAATAAAAATAATAATAATGGGGGAAACGGAAAGGTACAGTCAGAAGTAATCTTTCAGTTAAGGAAGTTCCAACCACTTTTTATGAAAAAAGTAATAGAAGGTTACAGCAGGATTGTCACTAGCTTCTATTCTGAGCCATATCTGATAACGTCTCTAACCACTGTGTTGCACCATCTCTCGGACCCCAACCAGGTAGTCGTGAAGGACCGACAGAAGCCAGTCCTTTGCAGCTTTCCTTCATACCACGACACCATGTCATAGACTGACCACCTCTCCGCTTTTTCCAACCAGTCCCAGCGTTGGCAAATAATGCACGACGTGGAATTCTCTGGGGCGATATTCGTAGAACATGTCCAAGCCACCGAAGTCGATGTTTCAAGATGGTGACATCGATTGCATTATCATCTCTGTGCCCGAACACACGATGCCGAACCTCTGAATTACTAACATGGTGTTGCCACTGGATGTCAGCAATCCTTCGGAGACAACGATGATCGAACACCGAGAGTCGTCCAACACCCTCAACTCGGAGAGGCCAGGTTTCACAAACATAGATCGAAGCTGCTCTCACTGACTCGTTGTAGATACGACCTTTTACAGCCAGACTAACATCACGAAGGCGCCAAAGATGGCCCAGATTAGCATAAGCTGCTCTGGCTTTCACTATACGTGCATTGGTCTCATCACTCATGCCACCACCAGCACTTATGCAGCTACCGAGATACACGAACTTCTCGATTACTTCTATTTGCTCACCATCCAGGGTGAGTACAGGATTAGAATCCTGCCAGTCTTTTAGAAGTACTTCGCACCTCGTAGGCTCAAAGCACATACCGTACCTACGGACACTGATTGCCAACTGATTAAGTGCGGATCTCGTAGGTTGGGCATTATCGCACAGTAAGAAAATATCATCCGCACACTCAAGGTCGAGAAGTCTTTCTCCAGGCAACAGATCCACACCGCCATTACTTACATCCAGCAGAGCTGTTTCCAGAATGTCATCGATGGCAAAGTTGAAGAGGAATGGTGAGATTGGGCAACCCTGCTGTTAGCGGGACATAGACTACATTAAAGCATACTCAATGCATGATTGTTTTGGTGCACGCTGATTGGCTGATTCTTATCCAATCAGCACTAGTCGATAGTCGGAGAATACTCTGGAATCTTCTTATGTAAAAACTATAAATATACCGACGTTTTCCCCTATTGTGCTTCTGACTTGCTATTTGGAATATAATCTTTTTCCTGTTCAACCGTGTTTTGATTTGGGGACTTGTCGAGTGAATCGGTGTCCGAGAATACTAAGCAATAGGAATAGCTGGGTCATTAACCGTAAGAAGAAACAGAGTTATAACAGTGGCGACGGGGAAAAAGGAAAACAAATTCAAGATGCCCATATCAGATGACCAGCTTAACCGAATAATACAACAACAGCAAGCACAACCTGATGCACAAATGCGGTTGTTGGAGGCTCTGACTCAACAGCTTAACATCCACTGCTCGAATTCACATGCTATTTCAAGTACGTCTTGTGATGCAGTCGCTAGCAGCATCCCAGAATTCATCTATGATCCCGAAAGTGGAAATACTTTTCTCACGTGGTTCAAACGTTGGGAAGATACATTTAGAACAGAATTCTGTAACCAAGACGATGCGTGGAAGACCCGATTGTTGGTACGTAAGTTGGTAAGCAGTGAACATGCACGTTTTGCTGACCATATATTGCCAAAGTTACCTCGAGAGCTCAGTTTCGAGGAGACGGTATTTCAGTTGTCAGAGATATTCGGCGAGTCATCCTCGTTGTTTTATATATTTATATTTATATATATATATTTATATATTTATAACACCTGCCTAACCCCAATGCTCGAATGGAACAATGGAGAGAGGTGGTTGTATGCCCCCACTCTGCCTGAGGTGTTTGTTTATAGGGCCGTTAGGATGTTAATAAACTTCTCAGGCACACCCTTCTTCAATAGACAATCCCAGAGAACAGTCCTGTCCAACGAATCGAAGGCAGCCCTGATGTCAAGAAACACTACGACTGTTGGCCTTTGATAAGTATGACGGTGTTCTAACATTTTGCGGAGGGTGAAGATATGATCAATACATCCTCGACCAGAACGAAACTCAGCCTGCTCCTCACGAGTCAATCTTTCTCGGGTTTTGAACAACCTACGAAGAATGACGGAGGCCAATAGCTTGGACGCAATTGGGAGTACATTTATCCTCCGATAGTTGTTACAGGAACGACATGAACCGTTTTTAAAGATAGGGACAACTATCGACTCATTCTATGACGTTGGTACACTCTCTAGTTCCCAAACCTTTGTAAACAACACAGTCAGTTCCTTAGTCAGAAAGTCACCACCATCTTTAAAAAGAGCCGGAGGTAATTCATCTGGGCCCGGTGGTTTGTAGCGCTTCAACAGTTAGAGTTCCTTGCGGACTTCCATCTCATTTGGTGGATCAGTCATCACCGGCCTTGGAGAGCTGAACAGTCTGACCGATGTTGCTGGAGCAGCAGGCCAGTTGAACTGCCTTTCGAAAAATTCTGCTCATCGTCCAAGACGTCGATGGATGTTAGTGATTGGCATACGTCATCCTCACAGATGATCTCACTCACACCAGACTTCTTGCTGCCAGTGGCTTGGATGAGTTGAAAGAGCTTCCGGTAGTTACCACATGCAGCTGCTGATTCCAGCTCATTAGAACGCTCCGACCATCAGGCTTCTCGGTCTTTACGCAAGCTTTGCCCGATTTCATTACGTAACATCCTTCGTTTGTGGCCAAACTCACGGTTACTCGGAGTAGACTGATAGGCTTCGATGAGTTGTAAGGAGCCTGAAGAAACCCAGTGCTTATAAGTGGGACGTTTCGCGAACCTGCAAACGGCTTTACTCTCCATTTTCATGGCGTCATGCAATTGCAACCAATGCTCATCTATACTTTTCAGTGGAATGGTAGCCAGCCTAGACCAGACGAAGATACCACACTGTCCACGAATAAACGCATGTAAAACAAGCTTTTTGAAGCGACAGATGGAGAGCGAATTTGTATTACTTTACCAGAGTCTTGAATACGGGTCTCAGATAGACAACAGTCGTCGATATTAAGACTTTCTAAAGACACAGCCAACCCTATCTGTTGTCCGACCTGCACAAGTGTGCAAACGTTGAAGGCAGCCAGTTTGAATGGTGCACGTGGTTTCAGAAAAAACTGTTTCAGTACTCATATTCGATGGTAACATTCAATTTTCAACCAGTCAGTAACTCGAGATCGTTTTGATAGGACAGAGTTTCCACGGGCGAGCTGCTGTGTAAGTTGAAAAATAAGGGTACACAAAGTGGCAATGAAAGAGAGTGAATAAGTGACGCGGTAAATAATAACAATTTAATTGTTTGACTGTTAATCGAAGGGTGAACAGTATTTTTAGTAAATATCGTCATTTTCATTTTATTTGTGTGTGGGCTATGATACTGCCCAGGTGCCCAGACAGAAGCGGGTGGTTTTCTTACGGGGCCACACCCCGAGCCTTTAACCTAAAGGTCTGACCCACAAGGCAGTGAAGCAATGTAAGGAGATGCAGTCCCATGGTAGCCGGTGACCAACAGTTGGTTCATACGCCATTTGTTCCTTCAGGATACTGGAGCCCATGTGCGCCATTGGTTCAAAATCAGGGTTTTTCAACTCCATTTGGTGGATTTACTTTGTCCACCGGCCCAGTAAAGCGCCGGACATTCACTTTTCGTCCTCTCGATTTCGTAAACAACACCCCGCTACGAGAAGGCAGTGGGTATGACTTCCGTGGCAGGGGCTGTATACGCGTGGTAGTGTGAGAGCATTTCGAGAGGTAGGGGATGTGGGCTCTCCCCGCTCTCGGCCATATCAGGGCATTTGTGGGCTGAATGGTATTTGATAAATCCGATGCAATTTTTCTCTGCCATATGAATTGTTGTAATGAACAAAGACTAGGTTAGTGTAAACCAATTTATCGTATTAAAATTTCACATACAGCATTTTTAAAATATGAAAACAGTATATGGAACATACAATTTGTACATCTTCGTAATTTTTTACTTAGAAACTCCATCGTTCTTCCGTTCTTGTTGCTACTCGGACTACTATGTTTCTTCCTCTTATCTGTCAGCAAGGATCCTACTTCTAATTCTTAGTACATACTACTTATATCTGCCCGTATAAGTCTCTCATGACATATTACTTGTTGAAAACTTTGATGGGACAAGTACGGTAAATGTAATGTTGCTGTGATTGAAACTCTGTGTAATGATCACTTCAGAATTTGCATTAAATTATTTATTTAGTTTATTTATCGGAACACATAAATATTGGTACAAAGGGACACCAAATACATATGCGCCACGCAAGTCACTTGATTTGTGTGTGGGCTATGATACTGCCTGAATGCCCTTACCGAGGCAGGTACTTCATTGGTATGTTAAATCATAGTTACATTGATACAAATCCTAGCATATAACATCAAACCAAACAATAAGTTAGCCTGATACTTCATAAGTTATGCACTTAGATTAATGTGAATGAGTTTATTTCCGATAAATGATTGAGAATATCATATTTTCCCCATTATCAGTATTATTATTATTATAGTGAATTATATCACACATTTGAAATATACAAACTGTTTTAAAGAATTTAACAATTGCACGTACGAATAATTAGTTTCAACGAAAGCTTAGATTTCATTCGCATAAAGTTTAACAGCGTTGTACTATTTCTTCTGAC